CACATTTTAGCGTTATCCACGTCTTCCAACATTTTATTTATTGTATCACTTAGAAAATGTCAATTAGTAATACAAAAGATAATAAAACCAGTTATAAATATGTATTATTATACTTAAAGCTGACCAGCGATACATACAGTTTTCAAACTAGCCCAACCTTTAAGTGAAGATGATCCCCTATCCTTGAACAATGGATAGATATAGTAAATCTAAATAATAGAATAATTGACACATTTTTGGAGATTACAAGAAGCACAGATGGAGGAAAAGTGGGAAAATTGATCCAGGAAAACAACATGGTTTATTTGTTTTGTGATATGTTGAAATTATCTGAGAAAGGAACTCAAACTTAAGCCCCACCTTTACCAGCTACAACATGAACATGATAAATATAATCCAATAAAGTAGTATATTATATAATTCTGAAGTGGGCCATTCTACATAATGAGAACTAGTTTTGCTACTACATTTGTGTTTTGATGCCAATAGCTATACTTTTACTAAAGTTAAATTCTTACTGCATTTATTTTACTTTTATGTCTACACTTGTTTACTTAAACCTCAAAATTATGCAAAACCTACCTCCATATTTAGCCCAGCCTAGGATGAGGCCTGTTGTGCAGACAGGGCTTTATCTGTTACAGCCCAGGCTTCTCTACACATAACAGGTCTCCATCTGTTGAGCCAATCAGATCTGCTGCTGCTGTTTCTCTGCTGCTCGCTGCAGACAGCCTCCAAACAACCCAGAACGAGGGTCCAGGGACTATACGAGCCCCCGCCGCCCACACCTCCTGCTGGGACACCAGAAGGCCTCTGTTTTGATAGTGGCTATTACCCTCATAAGGCTGACCCTCTGAGTTAACATCCCTGCCATTAGATACACAAGTAAGCACGACGGCAAGTACACTGTGTGACACTGGGTAAACATGTTGGCAAACTGCAGGAATGTAAAGGGAGACAGTTCAGAAGAGTGTTTGTCTGCCACAGACAGAGGAGAGACGTCCATCCAGAGTTATGAAACATGACATATGAGTGTTAAAAAACATGGTTTGTCCATATTTTACTCCTTGACGGGATAGATGTATTGTGTATATACAGAGGGCCATCTCTGAGCTCTCTGGCCTGTTGGGGTTGTTGGACTGTGACGAATGGAGCACTAAATCTACACCGTTCACCCTCACCTTTTGGCGAAGACTCCAGATGGAAAATTGGGAGAATTAAGCAGAGCCATGAAGAGGCGGAGAGAGGCTGGCTTCTCCATCACTAAAAACCAACATCCCCACCTGGAGGAGAGCATTGGCTCGTCTTTCAATGTGATGAAGGAGGATGTGCTGACTGAATAGTCTAAATTATAATCTTAAATAACAGGCAATTAAATCAAAAATCATTCCGGCCATAAAGAAGAGTAGGACCAAAGGTGCTGTAAAATGAATTCATATCCTACAATAACAAGGAAACTAAACTAGACCATGCGAGCAGCACTGTGAGTCTGGGCATATGGTAAAATAATGATAGCATGGGGAACTTATCTATGTTCCCAGGGTCCTATATCCCCAGCTTAATATCCTCGTAAGTCGTAATATAATACATTTACAAGACATTCAAAGGGTTTTATCCAGTTCAAAGTGTCTCCAGGTCAAATGTGGAAAATTCCCACCTACAGACTACTGATGTTACATTCCTTGAAACCTACGAACCTTAATTTGCAGGCTAGACATTTTTTTCTTTTTACCTTTGACATTGATATCTCAATTGGGCTGAACAGATTTTCAGATTTCAAACTGCATTTCCAAGCACATAATACCCTGGGGAAATTGCAAAAGCATGCTAAAATGCCCCCTGCTTCAGATGTTGACATTGTTTATCATGCTAGCATGACAAAAAAGTATATAACCTAGCTTTCAAATGTCACGATATATGAAGACAACACAGTGATAAATCTAGGATACATATACAGAATCAAAAAAACACGCAGCACATTATAAGTAACTTTTGTATACAACTAAACAAAAATGTGCCTTGCCAAAAAGAAGGCAAATAATCCAGTAACCATACATTGGTTGCTTTAACATGCATATGAATTACATGATGAACATTTTTGTAGCCATTATGCTTCAATTACTTTTTGGTGAGAACAAGGGACTATACGATACAATAATTGATTGATTGATACAATACGATAATACTTTATTGTCCGATGGAGTCTGTTCTTGAATCACAGCAGCTCCATTTGCAACATCAACAAGGACAATATTTAGAAACAAGGAAACATATATTTAACATAACATCACGGTCGATCACTAAAGAGAAACATGCTCAAGACCCTCTAACGTAGGCTACATTTGATCTGGGACTTATCTCTGTATTTAATTTGAGGATTGACAAAAGAGTGCTTCAGTATAACCTTATTAAATCACGGGACCCTGTATCTACGATTTGATCGATATGCCTCAATATGTTATTTCCGAAGGTTGATTCATAGAGTATCTCAAAAGGTTGAACTTGTCGTGGGAAGGCTTTCTGCAGCCGGAGAGAAAGACCTCCAGGAAAATAATCAATGATGGGTTGTCAAATGTCCCGAAGGAAAATCATTAAATGTGACTGAGAGAGGTCTCTCCTTGATTCACTAGGACAGAATGCATCGCCTCGCTAGAAGCATTAGCTTCTCCATAAAGTCAGCTACTAACAGGCTTCCCTATCAGCACAAATGATCACAGTTGAACACTGTCAGCTTGAGTTTATTATAGTTGCTCAGACTTTTTGAGGGATCAGTCCTCTGCCCTCTAACAAACACTCTGTGGGAGTAGTATGTGCTCATGTGGGCTGGGTGGCCTGCTGGGCTGTCCTGCTCCCTGGGGTGTCTGCTGTAGAGAGGGCCTGTTATTCAGAGAACATCCTGGGCCCTCCCACCCTCCCGTAGTGTCTGCACCTATGGAGAGAAGGAGCTGGGAAAGCCCCAGTACAAAAGAGGACAATTTGTGGTTAGAAGACTGCTGTTTAGGTAAATATTGTAGCATGGGCGGGGAGCTGGGATCTTTGTTAGTACAACAAAAACACAAGTGAAAACTGTAATTGAGGGAAAATGCTTGTTTTTCGCAAAGCAAGGTTTTATGTGGTGTCTGCTTACCCTCATTATCTTTAAATGATGGGACTGCTTACACGGCTGAGCTCACATTAACCACTTTCTCCTCCTCACATCATCATCAACATATGGGGCCCATTCACTGGAGCATTAGGGGGAAACATGTACAGCATCATTATGGTAATGGTGATGCCTCTGCCATGGCACTCAACAGACAGAAGGACATGGATTAAAGGAGGATGGATCATAGGGATGGATGAGAGGAGGGGGGGGGGCTTACTGATTCCCATACAGTAAAGATGTCATCTTCTCAGGCTGAAATAAGGACACATGCAAATGACTCAGCTGATGCAGACAGGCTGTATGTATTTGCATGTGTTTATTTGGATATCAGACACTACTGAGCATCATCATGGCTGCAATGGTAGGAAGGAGGTCATATATTTTTGTAGATACATCGTCATATATGCTGAGGTCATTGATCCTGTCTTGTTCTGGTAGTAATCCCTCATATTGTTCACTTAACTGTCTGAACATGCCTAGTGTCAATTAAAATGTATTTAAAGGTGCTATAACTAAGTGATTGGATGTAACAAAGTATATGTATTTAAGTATTGCACTTTTTTGACATACTTGACTAACTTGAGTACGCCTATTTCCTGCTAATCTCTATTCCACTACATCTCAGAGGATATATTGTACTTTTTATTCGTCTTTACTTATTTGTAAAGCTTCAGAGACTATCTACTTTGCAGATTTAAATCATCAATACATACAACATATAATCAAATAATGAATTAGATAGGCCTTTTATAATATATATAACTACTCAGCAGTTCAAATGAGCTCAACCTTTAGCAACTTAAATTTCGAAGTAACTAACAAAAGTCTTGCATAAATGATTGTGCTTATTATTCAGACCTCTACTGCTGTATCACGTAGCCCTACAGTATGTATTGGATTCGAGTTATGGTTGCTTAACATAAAGTAGTTATATGTCGCCATCTGCTGGATATATTTCATTCAGGGGAAAACGTGTGGTGACATAATGAAACACTAGGGGCGTCGTGGGTCCGGAGTACGCTACTAACAGATTCTCATTGTTGTATAATAAGAACGTTGTAACGGTTGTAATACGTTATGAAATTGCATCTTGTTTACTTTTGTTAGCTTCGCTCCCAATTTAGCAAATGATGTCACATGGTGAAACTAATCATTTCATTATGCAATCACTTTAGTGTTATTCTGCAATGATCTTACTTTATTTTAACATCCCAGTTGTCAGATTTCCTTAAGAGTTCACTTAAAAACTGAAGTTTATAAGGGGTAAGGTGAGTGGGAACATTTCAGTTCCTTGCAAATTCTGCATTTCATATTGGTTTTGGAACTTTGATACTTCATTCTGTGAAACGGTTTTGGAGGGTTATCAAAGACTAAGATACTGGAACAGAGCTCAAGAAATAACTTTAGTAAATCATTGCTGCAGAATTGAGTTTGATAATCCATACAAATTGTTTAACAGAGTTTACCAAATGTTAGAAAATATTGCACCACTACAAAGGGGAAAAAGTAGATTTTTAGTTTTCCATAAAATCAATGTAAAGATTTTGATATCCTTAATTCTGATTTAGTGTCCACAATTATATTTCATCTTAAATTATATTCCCAGTTTATCAATTCAACATCTAATTATCCAAGCCTTCAAACCTTCCCAAATCCCTCCCATTTTTAAACAATTATTTTTGGATTTTTCAATATTACCCCTCATCACACACCAACTTATAAGTGTACCACAACACTAGTTTATTAATTCAAACCAGAAAACTAATGAGGAGAAAAAAACAGTAGATGTGAACATATGATTGTGGCATGTAACCTTAGCTTAGTAGATTCAAACCCAAAGAAAATGAGACAAATCGAAAAGGCAATTTTTTTTATTTGACAGTGAAACAGGCAGCACAAGCTGCCGTCCTGTTCAGTCACACCTAAAACTTCTGGAACTGCTTCTTGGCGCCTGCAGCCTTCATCACTTTGAGGACGTTGAACCTCACGGTCTTGCTGAGTGGTCGGCACTCTCCAACGGTGACGTTGTCTCCAACTGAGACGTCTCTGTAAAAAAGCACCAACATAAAGATATTAACAGGTGGTTGGGTTACCTTTTTGCATGAACAAGTCAATAAAGATGTATACATTTTTAAATAGGATGTTCCAATTAAAATCAGACTGCATCAGTGTTTGCCATAAGGCATTATCGTCACAGCTTCTTGAGCTAGGAAGACCATCGTGAGAAAAATCATCATTTGCAGCAGATGGTGTTCTACTTTTGGCTGTTACAGGGACTGACCATTTAACAGACGTTGAATAGGACAAGTATATTGTGGGTAAAAAACATTTATAACTTGAGCCCAATAAGGAAACAATTACGGCACTATTTTCCAGACATTTAAAAATGTGTTTTTTTTTTAAATAATTGTTTACATTTCTGGGTGCTCCATGTTTTCTATAACTGTAGAAACTGTTAATTATAAGCATAATATGGGCAGTGTTGTACCTGAAGCAAGGTGACAGATGGACAGAGATGTTCTTGTGCCTCTTCTCAAAACGGTTGTACTTGCGGATGTAATGCAGGTAGTCACGTCTGATAACGATGGTCCTCTGCATCTTCATTTTGGTCACCACACCTGTTTGAGCACAAAAGGAAATATGGTTAGGGGATTGAATTTTATGTATAATGCAATTAAGAATTCAATCAATGCCCATTTAATAGGATTGTCACTCTACTACATCAGTGTTGCCATAAGGCATTATCGTCAGCGCCTAGAAGGCTTGGAAGACCATCGTGAGAAAACATCATTTGTAGTAGTGACAGGAATATTCAATATACGGTTTGTGGCAAGTTACCCTGTATAGACTGGTTCTTGCTTGGGTTGCTTCACCTGTACAAGGGCATGTTGATTTGCAGTCAGTGTAATACACACAGTATCAGGCTGGACATTGTAACCTGTGTATCACTGGATTTAAACTACATTCGCTAGCATTAAATGTGCAATGTGTTCCTGGTTGTACATCACATCTCCAGATTGAGTGCATGACACTGTAAAATACATTTTCTAGGACTCTGTATGTTCAGTTGTATATTGTATTGGGCTGTTGTGTTTAATTGACAGCAAGTTATATGTTGCAGCACCCAAAGCCATTGACAATTGACTTGTGCAAGTTGAGTGTCAAATTTACCAGAGAGGATGCGGCCACGGATGGACACATTTCCAGTGAAGGGGCATTTCTTGTCAATGTAAGTGCCGTCAATAGCCTGATGGGGAAAACAAGGGAACAGTCAATACCATTTATCACTATACATATTCCTTGGCTCAATTAAATCATTTTATCTTGAGACTGCATCAGCATTGCCAAAAGGCATTATCGTCAGAACCCTAAAGGGCTAGGAAGACCATCGTGAGAAAAACATCATTTGCAGCTACCTAAGAAGTTACGTTTAAAACTAGTTTTACACCGGTTGACAGTCACACCTAAAACTTCTGGAACTGCTTCTTGGCGCCTGCAGCCTTCATCACTTTGAGGACGTTGAACCTCACGGTCTTGCTGAATGGTCAGCACTCTCCAACGGTGACTTTGTCTCCAACTGAGACGTCTCTGTAGAAAAGCACCAACATAAAGATATTAACAGGTGGTTGGGTTACCTTTTTGCATGAACAAGTCAATAAAGATGCAGTGCATGACATTAAGGATTTGGGGAGATGGCCCTGTGGGCCATCTAAGCTAATTTACAGATGGCCCTGAGCCCAATAGAGATTGCCCAGAAAAATGCGCGCGGACAAAATGACGCACGAAGGGTTTGGGGGGCCTCCCCCTAGAACATTTAGATTGTTGCAGGTCTTAGATGCTGTCTGGTGCATTCTCTAGACTGAATTATAAGATGAACCACCACAATATTATATTGTACAATTTCAATTTTATTTTTAATTTCACTTGTTTGTTTGTTCTTGTTTGTGTTTGCTCGCTTGCATGCCCTGCATAGCTTTAAGAAATACTTAAGTTGTTGGTCAAGACACTTTCCATCTGATGAAGGCAAATGCCTTCCCAGATGTAAAAAAAGTAGAAAACATTACATTCAGTTATAACTGCCAAAACAAACATTATTTACACTATTATGGCCCCTGTTAAAAATGTTTGTAATGTTATCTAAATTGGTCGAACGAATGCCTCCTCATCCGGAAGCTGACCGAGCAGACCCGAGCAGCAGTCGAGAGGAGCCGAGCGCATCCGCGAAGCACGCAAAATGGCGACGTCAGAGTTCCCGTTAGCCGGCAAATCTAAATATCTTCGGTCAAAATAATTTCCCTTTAGCGCAATACCGCTTCAGTTGCGCCACTTATGTGACAGACAAGAAGAGTATGTGACAGACAAGAAGAGTAAATTCTAATGTCTAACACTTAATGTGGAGAAAGAGATGTCCTGTGTGGGTTGATTGTGCGTTGATCTGTTGGTAATGCCTCGGCGTTCCGGTGGGCATGTAAACAAATGCATAATGCTGCGCATACTTTGTGGCCTCATCCGGTTGCATAGCGACACTTATTGTTTAGGTGTCTTTTAATAAGCAGGTAGTCATATCATTAGCTAGAACTAGCTGGATCTGATCGATATGGACATAAACGCGAGTGAAGTCTAATCTGACGGGAGAGAGAGATCAGCTGCTGCTGACGAGTCGACACGCAGCTCTGCATGATCACATGCAGCGGTGAGCGGACAAAACACACACTTCAGGTTAGAATATCACACGTAGCTATTTTAATTACCTCTAAACCTACCTAAACTAGTTATAGATAAGTTTAGTTTTACTGTCGGGTCTCTCATTACTGGATCCACGAGCTGCATGATACTGGCATAATAGATTGCCCGATCGGGCAACCAGCAGGTGAGGCTTCATTGCCCGAGCTAAATACTAGATGGCCCCGGGCCATCGGGCAGTCCTTAATGTCGAGCCCTGAGATGTATACATTTTTAAATAGGATGTTCCAATTAAAATCAGACTGCATCAGTGTTTGCCATAAGGCATTATCGTCACAGCTTCTTGAGCTAGGAAGACCATCGTGAGAAAAATCATCATTTGCAGCAGTTGGTGTTCTACTTTTGGCTGTTACAGGGACTGACCATTTAACAGACGTTGAATAGGACAAGTATATTGTGGGTAAAAAACATTTATAACTTGAGCCCAATAAGGAAACAATTACGGCACTATTTTCCAGACATTTGACAATGTGTTTTTTTTTTAAATAATTTTTTACATTTCTGGGTGCTCCATGTTTTCTATAACTGTAGAAACTGTTAATTATAAGCATAATATGGGCAGTGTTGTACCTGAAGCAAGGTGACAGATGGACAGAGATGTTCTTGTGCCTCTTCTCAAAACGGTTGTACTTGCGGATGTAATGCAGGTAGTCACGTCTGATAACGATGGTCCTCTGCATCTTCATTTTGGTCACCACACCTGTTTGAGCACAAAAGGAAATATGGTTAGGATTGAGTTTTATGTATAATGCAATTAAGAATCCAATCAATGCCCATTTAATAGGATTGTCACTCTACTACATCAGTGTTGCCATAAGGCATTATCGTCAGCGCCTAGAAGGCTTGGAAGACCATCGTGAGAAAACATCATTTGTAGTAGTGACAGGAATATTCAATATACGGTTTGTGGCAAGTTACCCTGTATAGACTGGTTCTTGCTTGGGTTGCTTCACCTGTACAAGGGCATGTTGATTTGCAGTCAGTGTAATACACACAGTATCAGGCTGGACATTGTAACCTGTGTATCACTGGATTTAAACTACATTCGCTAGCATTAAATGTGCAATGTGTTCCTGGTTGTACATCACATCTCCAGATTGAGTGCATGACACTGTAAAATACATTTTCTAGGACTCTGTATGTTCAGTTGTATATTGTATTGGGCTGTTGTGTTTAATTGACAGCAAGTTATATGTTGCAGCACCCAAAGCCATTGACAATTGACTTGTGCAAGTAGAGTGTCAAATTTACCAGAGAGGATGCGGCCACGGATGGACACATTTCCAGTGAAGGGGCATTTCTTGTCAATGTAAGTGCCGTCAATAGCCTGATGGAAAAAAATGGAAGAGTCAATACCATTTATCACTATACATATTCCTTGGCTCAATTAAATCATTTTATCTTGAGACTGCATCAGCATTGCCATAAGGCATTATCGTCAGAACCCTAAAGGGCTAGGAAGACCATCGTGAGAAAAACATCATTTGCAGCTACCTAAGAAGTTACGTTTAAAACTAGTTTTACACCGGTTGACAGTCACACCTAAAACTTCTGGAACTGCTTCTTGGCGCCTGCAGCCTTCATCACTTTGAGGACGTTGAACCTCACGGTCTTGCTGAGTGGTCAGCACTCTCCAACGGTGACGTTGTCTCCAACTGAGACGTCTCTGTAGAAAAGCACCAACATAAAGATATTAACAGGTGGTTGGGTTACCTTTTTGCATGAACAAGTCAATAAAGATGCAGTGCATGACATTAAGGATTTGGGGAGATGGCCCTGTGGGCCATCTAAGCTAATTTACAGATGGCCCTGAGCCCAATAGAGATTGCCCAGAAAAATGCGCGCGGACAAAATGACGCACGAAGGGTTTGGGGGGCCTCCCCCTAGAACATTTAGATTGTTGCAGGTCTTAGATGCTGTCTGGTTCTCTAGACTGAATTATAAGATGAACCACCACAATATTATATTGTACAATTTCAATTTTATTTTTAATTTCACTTGTTTGTTTGTTCTTGTTTGTGTTTGCTCGCTTGCATGCCCTGCATAGCTTTAAGAAATACTTAAGTTGTTGGTCAAGACACTTTCCATCTGATGAAGGCAAATGCCTTCCCAGATGTAAAAAAAGTAGAAAACATTACATTCAGTTATAACTGCCAAAACAAACATTATTTACACTAGTATGGCCCCTGTTAAAAATGTTTGTAATGTTATCTAAATTGGTCGAACGAATGCCTCCTCATCCGGAAGCTGACCGAGCAGACCCGAGCAGCAGTCGAGAGGAGCCGAGCGCATCCGCGAAGCACGCAAAATGGCGACGTCAGAGTTCCCGTTAGCCGGCAAATCTAAATATCTTCGGTCAAAATAATTTCCCTTTAGCGCAATACCGCTTCAGTTGCGCCACTTATGTGACAGACAAGAAGAGTATGTGACAGACAAGAAGAGTATGTGACAGACAAGAAGAGTAAATTCTAATGTCTAACACTTAATGTGGAGAAAGAGATGTCCTGTATGGGTTGATTGTGCGTTGATCTGTTGGTAATGCCTCGGGGTTCCGGTGGGCATGTAAACAAATGCATAATGCATGCGCTATACTTTGTGGCCTCACCCGGTTGCATAGCGACACTTATTGTTTAGGTGTCTTTTAATAAGCAGGTAGTCATATCATTAGCTAGAACTAGCTGGATCTGATCGATATGGACATAAACGCGAGTGAAGTCTAATCTGACGGGAGAGAGAGATCAGCTGCTGCTGACGAGTCGACACGCAGCTCTGCATGATCACATGCAGCGGTGAGCGGACAAAACACACACTTCAGGTTAGAATATCACACGTAGCTATTTTAATTACCTCTAAACCTACCTAAACTAGTTATAGATAAGTTTAGTTTTACTGTCGGGTCTCTCATTACTGGATCCACGAGCTGCATGATACTGGCATAATAGATTGCCCCATCGGGCAACCAGCAGGTGAGGCTTCATTGCCCGAGCTAAATACTAGATGGCCCCGGGCCATCGGGCAGTCCTTAATGTCGAGCCCTGAGATGTATACATTTTTAAATAGGATGTTCCAATTAAAATCAGACTGCATCAGTGTTTGCCATAAGGCATTATCGTCACAGCTTCTTGAGCTAGGAAGACCATCGTGAGAAAAATCATCATTTGCAGCAGTTTGCGTTCTACTTTTGGCTGTTACAGGGACTGACCATTTAACAGACGTTGAATAGGACAAGTATATTGTGGGTAAAAAACATTTATAACTTGAGCCCAATAAGGAAACAATTACGGCACTATTTTCCAGACATTTAAAATGTGTTTTTTTTTAAAATAATTTTTTACATTTCTGGGTGCTCCATGTTTTCTATAACTGTAGAAACTGTTAATTATAAGCATAATATGGGCAGTGTTGTACCTGAAGCAAGGTGACAGATGGACAGAGATGTTCTTGTGCCTCTTCTCAAAACGGTTGTACTTGCGGATGTAATGCAGGTAGTCACGTCTGATAACAATGGTCCTCTGCATCTTCATTTTGGTCACCACACCTGTTTGAGCACAAAAGGAAATATGGTTAGGATTTAATTTTATGTATAATGCAATTAAGAATCCAATCAATGCCCATTTAATAGGATTGTCACTCTACTACATCAGTGTTGCCATAAGGCATTATCGTCAGCGCCTAGAAGGCTTGGAAGACCATCGTGAGAAAACATCATTTGTAGTAGTGACAAGAATATTCAATATACGGTTTGTGGCAAGTTACCCTGTATAGACTGGTTCTTGCTTGGGTTGCTTCACCTGTACAAGGGCATGTTGATTTGCAGTCAGTGTAATACACACAGTATCAGGCTGGACATTGTAACCTGTGTATCACTGGATTTAAACTACATTCGCTAGCATTAAATGTGCAATGTGTTCCTGGTTGTACATCACATCTCCAGATTGAGTGCATGACACTGTAAAATACATTTTCTAGGACTCTGTATGTTCAGTTATATATATTGTATTGGGCTGTTGTGTTTAATTGACAGCAAGCGATATGTTGCAGCACCCAAAGCCATTGACAATTGACTTGTGCAAGTTGAGTGTCAAATGTTAAATTTACCAGAGAGGATGCGGCCACGGATGGACACATTTCCAGTGAAGGGGCATTTCTTGTCAATGTAAGTGCCGTCAATAGCCTGATGGAAAAAAATGGAAGAGTCAATACCATTTATCACTATACATATTCCTTGGCTCAATTAAATCATTTTATCTTGAGACTGCATCAGCATTGCCAAAAGGCATTATCGTCAGAACCCTAAAGGGCTAGGAAGACCATCGTGAGAAAAACATCATTTTGCAGCTACGAGAAGTTAAGTTTAAAACTAGTGTTCATATTTTTCTGGACAATTCAAGTTACCTCTCTTGGTGTTTTGAAGCCCAGCCCCACACTTTTGTGGTAGCTTCTCCTTGGCCTCCTTGTCACCCTCAGCGACCAGAACACGCTTCTTGTTCTTGAAGATAGTGAGCTGTTTCTGATAAGCCCTCTCAGTCTGTGGAACAAGGAGAACAACAAGTTAAAAACTGGGATAAGCAGGAACAGGGAAGCATTGAGACAATACATTCAGACGCCACCACCCGGCCTCGCTAAGTAGCCGACACAAGTTCAAGATTTACTTCCTCCTAAGGAATAAAAGTCCCGTAACCTTAAATACATATTATTAACGTAATGAGTAAAAACGGTTACATATGGACGTTTGCACTTTAAACAAAGCAATTCGTCGTTCATAAAGAATGTTAAGTTGTAGAAGGCTAAGCTAACCGAGTAGCATAGCGGCACACTTTTGCTGATATCTTTCGCGAGAGATTTAAACGTGGCTCCTTTTTTTCACAGCGATGTTTCGATCTAACTGAGCACGTGCAGAGTGAGTGTCATCACTCTAGCTTCTTCTTCTTCTCTATTTGAATGCCGGATCGCAAATAGCTTTTAGTTGCATACCGCCACCTACTGTACATGAGTGTGTATCATGTCATTCCATCACTCAACTCATGGACGTATATCTAGCTTGTTTGTTTGTAACACGTTATGAAATTGCATCTTGTTTACTTTTGTTAGCTTTGCTCCCAATTTAGCAAATTATGTCACATGGTGAAACTAATGATTTCATTAAGCATTCACTTTAGTGTTAGGCTGCAATGATCTTACTTTATCTTAATTAACATCCCAGTTGTCAGATTTCCTTAAAAACTGAATTTTATCAGGGTGTAAGGTGAGTGGGAACATTTCAGTTCCTTGCTAATTCTGCATTTCATATTGTTTTTGAAACTTCGATGCTGCTTTATTCTGTGAAAAGGTTTTGTTGGAAGGTTATCAAAGACTAAAGATACTGGGACCAGTGGCGGTTCTAGACCAATTTGACTGGGGGGGGCAGTTATTTTCTAAGGGGGGCACAATAAATGCAGGACGAAAAAGACAAAGACAGTATGAAGTAATTGCGCATAAGAAAACAATGCAATACAGTTATTGGTATTTGTTTCAGTACACATTTATTTCAGATACTTATAGTTACAGTTTGTACGCTCTAATGCAGGGGTCTCCAACCTTTTTTAGGATGAGAGCTACTTTCAAAAAATAAAACAAGTCGTGAGCTACTTTTACTCCTTTTTTTTGTTTTTTGCAGTGTATATATTTAGCACATGTTAACATTATATGCTAACCTTTGTGTGCTGTTTGGGTCTGTGGGACCCGTTTTCAGTGTTTACTAAAATAACATGTATGCAATTAAATTATTTTAACCCGCTTTATTTGGGGGTCGACCTCACCTCATCTAGGGGGGTCCGGGGGCATGTTGAAGTTAAATGCATCAATCTGGTGCACTTTGAGCACAAAATGAATTATGGATACAGCTCTCAATACTCATATGAAAGAGAGCTGTATACTTTTCAATAATCCACAAATCTTTAGAATATGATCAACCAATAACAAATCATTGAAACTTGTTCATTTTTAGCCAATAAATCATTTAATCATAAACTTTTTTTTTTAGGGGGGTCCAAAGTCAGTGTTAGGGGCACCGGCCCCCCCTGACTGGGACAAATCAAGAAATAACTTGGGTAAATTATTGCCGCCGAATCATGCTTGGTAGCTTCTTAAAAATATAATAATCCACGAAAAGGGTTTAACAAAGTTTACCAAATGTTAGGAAATATTGCAACGCAACAAGTGGGGAAAAAGTAGTTTTTTCCTTCATAAAAAAAAACCAATGTACAGACTTTGATATTCTTAATTGTGATTTAGTGTCCAAAATTATATTTCACCTTAAATTATATTCCCAGTTTATCAATTCAACTTCTAATTATCCAAGCCTTCAAACCTTCCAAATTCCCTCCCATTTTTTTAACAATTATTTTTAAATTATTCAATATTACCCCTCATCACACACCAACTTATAAGTGTACCACAAAACTAGTTTATTAATTCAAACCAGAAAACTAATGAGGGGAAAAAACAGTAGATGTGAACATATGATTGTAGCATGTAACCTTTAGTTTCAAACCCAAAGAAAATGATGAGACAAATCGAAAAGGCAATTTAAACAAGATTTTTTTTATTTGACAGTGAAACAGGCAGCACAAGCTGCCGCCCTGTTCACAGTCACACCTAAAACTTCTGGAACTGCTTCTTGGCGCCTGCAGCCTTCATCACTTTGAGGACGTTGAACCTCACGGTCTTGCTGAGTGGTCGGCACTCTCCAACGGTGACGTTGTCTCCAACTGAGACGTCTCTGTAGAAAAGCACCAACATAAAGATATTAACAGGTGGTTGGGTTACCTTTTTGCATGAACAAGTCAATAAAGATGTATACATTTTTAAATAGGATGTTCCAATTAAAATCAGACTGCATCAGTGTTTGCCATAAGGCATTATCGTCACAGCTTCTTGAGCTAGGAAGACCATCGTGAGAAAAATCATCATTTGCAGCAGTTTGTGTTCTACTTTTGGCTGTTACAGGGACTGACCATTTAACAGACGTTGAATAGGACAAGTATATTGTGGGTAAAAAACATTTATAACTTGAGCCCAATAAGGAAACAATTACGGCACTATTTTCCAGACATTTGAAAATGTTTTTTTTTTAATTATAATTGTTTACATTTCTGGGTGCTCCATGTTTTCTATAACTGTAGAAACTGTTAATTATAAGCATAATATGGGCAGTGTTGTACCTGAAGCAAGGTGACAGATGGACAGAGATGTTCTTGTGCCTCTTCTCAAAACGGTTGTACTTGCGGATGTAATGCAGGTAGTCACGTCTGATAACAATGGTCCTCTGCATCTTCATTTTGGTCACCACACCTGTTTGAGCACAAAAAGAAATATGGTTAGGATTGAATTTTATGTATAATGCAATTAAGAATTCAATCAATGCCCATTTAATAGGATTGTCACTCTACTACATCAGTGTTGCCATAAGGCATTATCGTCAGCGCCTAGAAGGCTTGGAAGACCATCGTGAGAAAACATCATTTGTAGTAGTGACAGGAATATTCAATATACGGTTTGTGGCAAGTTACCCTGTATAGACTGGTTCTTGCTTGGGTTGCTTCACCTGTACAAGGGCATGTTGATTTGCAGTCAGTGTAATACACACAGTATCAGGCTGGACATTGTAACCTGTGTATCACTGGATTTAAACTACATTCGCTAGCATTAAATGTGCAATGTGTTCCTGGTTGTACATCACATCTCCAGATTGAGTGCATGACACTGTAAAATACATTTTCTAGGACTCTGTATGTTCAGTTGTATATTGTATTGGGCTGTTGTGTTTAATTGACAGCAAGTGATATGTTGCAGCACCCAAAGCCATTGACAATTGACTTGTGCAAGTTGAGTGTCAAATGTTAAATTTACCAGAGAGGATGCGGCCACGGATGGACACATTTCCAGTGAAGGGGCATTTCTTGTCAATGTAAGTGCCGTCAATAGCCTGATGGGGAAAACAAGGGAACAGTCAATACCATTTATCACTATACATATTCCTTGGCTCAATTAAATCATTTTATCTTGAGACTGCATCAGCATTGCCATAAGGCATTATCGTCAGAACCCTAAAGGGCTAGGAAGACCATCGTGAGAAAAACATCATTTGCAGCTACCTAAGAAGCTAAGCTTAAAACTAGATTTTATATTTTTTTGGACAATTCAAGTTACCTCTCTTGGTGTTTTGAAGCCCAGACCCACACTTTTGTGGTAGCGGGGGAGCTTCTCCTTGACTTCCTTGGCACCCTCAGCGACCAGAACACGCTTCTTGTTCTGGAAGATAGTGGGCTGTTTCTGATAAGCCCTCTCGGTCTGTGGAACAAGGAGAACAACAACTTAAAATTGGGATAAGGAACAGGGAAGCATTGAGACAATACATTCAAACGCCACCACCCGGCCTTGCTAAGTAGCCGACACAAGTTCAAGATGTACTTCCTCCTAAGGGATAAAAGTCCCTTAACATTTAATATATTATTAACGTTATGATTAAAAACGGTTCCATATGGGCGTTTGCACTATATACAAAGCAATCCGTCGTTCATAAAGAATGTTAAGTTGTAGCAGGCTAAGCTAATCGAGTAGCATCGCGGCTAGTCCAACGTTGCACGAGGGTATGAAGAACAGCAACAACAAATGGCATTTCTTAAAGTCTAATTATGGTTTAAAACGGCTCAAAACGTGTTTAAAGGACTTGTAAACGCACATACTTAATGTAAACCGGTAAATGTGTTTAGTAAAACGTAAAAATATCGTTTTAAAGTCACCACGCCGTTTTCCTGAACGTACTTGTGCATCCGCCATCTTTGCCTGCCGAGTCGTAAAGAGGCCTAAAGATGCGCGCGACGGCCTAAAGACCGCGACACACAGGAAGTGACGTTCGAAAAGGCGAGGCTAACATTTTTTTTCGTATTGATCATACTTTAAAAATCACACTACAATCCATAGATAATTATATATTGCGTATGAACATATTGAAGAACTTAATTAAAAAAAATTAGACCTACCATTTAAATGATAATATCATGAGTACAAACAAAAAAATACACTGTATGAGATAGATTTAGGCTACGTTTAAACATACATTTTTCCTTTAAACGTTATTCATTTATTTTGAAGTATTCTTTCATTTATCGAGATGTCTTCTCAGACTTTTTGCTATTTAAGAAACCGAGTCAAATAGATAGTTAAGTAATCAAAGAACACAAACACTTAACCTGTCTTCGCTGAGTGACAACTTCATCTGCCTGGACTGGTAAGATTCTGGACTGGTAAGATGGTAAGATTCCCAGCTCTGCATATCACCCATAGATATCACCACATAAAGACTGCACTGATTCACAATGGAAACATATATTTATACCAAACGTTACACCTTAATAAAAAATACTAGTTCATAATAACATGTAATATTAATAATTATTTAGTTGGATCGATCTCCTTTGACATTTTTCCATTTAACCTGGGGATGAAGTGAATATTAAATATCTATTTCTTATTTTCTATATTTCGATCTCCAAAATTCCCCGACAACCGCTGACAACATAACAATGCGTCACATGATTGTACGTAAGCGCCAGCGGTTGAAGTAAACACACAACAAGATGGCATCGCACCGGGGAGGAGGCGATAAAGGTAGCAGCTGGAAACAGCGATATTTTGTATTGAAACCTACTCTGACAGCGTCACCAACACCTTGGTAGACAAAGATAATCTCACATTTGAACAACTATCTATTAATTTGATCTTGTAGTTTGTTTGCTTGTTATCAGAAACATTAGCTGAACTGAGGTTAGCAAGTCAGCTAACCTAAACGTTAGCAGTGCGTTAGCTTATGCTACCTACTATGCGTTGTATAGATACCGTTAGCTTGGTTAGCTGATAGCTGTTCTAGAGTGAGTTAGCAAATATGTTTAAACAAAACTGAAACAAAGCTTTCAGAAGACACCGACAAAGTCCACGTTTATTGGTTTCATCGGTTCGTAGACTTAGTAGACCTCCAGTATTTCTTAGCCATAACATTGACTAACTTATTGACTTAACGTTAGCCTAATCAACTTAGCTAACCACTTAAAAACTGTGGACATGTATTGCTGGCTTTGTTTACCGAACTCACAAGCTTAATAAAAGGCACAGGTGTATAAATTACTAACAAATGATTAACAAAAAATATATTTTCAAGTTTTGCTAATCTAAATAAACTCACAGTAAAGGGTGGCAGCAGATTCAGGTTAAATTGATTACAAAAGTACTGTTTTACTAGCAAATGTTCTTCAATTTCTAGAATTTCTTTATAATATATGAGAAAACTGGTTGTAAAACACTATCAGCATTTGGATGATTTAACATTGACCTTTGTCTTTTCAGGCAATACTGCAGACCAGATAGTGGAAGTAGGAACTGTTTTGTTACAAGAGTAAGTATATACTTTACAGTTAGGCGTCTCATTATTAAACAAGGCACATTATAATTTCACACTTTATTTCTATCCGCTCTGTCTCTCCCTGTGTAGTTTCATCTACGAGCGAGTTCAGCGGCATGGAAATGGAAACACTGCAGTGACCAGGGCACAGCTGGGTGGAGGAGAGCTCGACCCTAAACACAAGAAGCTTGCCCAGTGCCTGCAGCAGATTGGCGATGAGCTGGATGGAAATGTAGAGCTTCAAAGGTGAGCTATCTTGTTGTGCTATTTGGAACTGATGAACAGAAATCATCAGAAAAGCGTTTGTTAACTAAAATGAATAATGATCTGTCTGACTTAGAGTAAACACCATCAAAAGAACTTTGTCACTAACACATGCACAGAGGTCTGTCTGTGCCCAGTTGAGATGTTGTATCTTGCCTCTTGCTTCCACTACATTTCAGAGGAGAAAGTGAGAAAGTAGCAGAGGTCCAAAAATAAAATACACTCTTTGCTATATTGTACATTACACAATATTAGCTTTCCCTAAAAAAAAGTCTGCAGAGTCTCTTCATTAGTTTCCTGTCTAATGCACTTGACTTCAGCACTTGTTTGCTCAGTGTGGATTAAATGCATACAAACAGCGTAGCAGGGTGCTTTATGTTTGATGTGTTAAAGGCACATTATGTGTCTTAAAAGTATCTCTGATGTCTTAAAATTGTCATGTTTAAGGCAGGGGTGTCAAACTCAATTTCATCGTGGGCCACATTAGCACTATGGTTGCACTCAAAGGGCCGGTTGTAACTTTAAGACTATATAAAAATATACATATATAATATATATAAAATAATGTTTTATTTTACATTATTGCCTCTGCTTTGGATTATTATGGGATAGGGTAATAACTTCATAATTAACTACGTCTGAAAGCAGAAGTCTGGGGCAAATAATTGCAAGTCTCTTCAGTGTGCATGTCACAAAACTAGATGCATTGTGGGACATGTAGTTTATGGACAATGTGCTTCTGTAAAGCGGCATGTAACCTTATAATAAACATATTTTATTCTTTCTTAGCTCTTGCGGGCCACATAAAATGAAGTCGAGGGCCGGATTTGGCCCACGGGCCTTGAGTTTGACAGCCCTGGTCTAAGGAGATGGACTGTGTTCGTATTTGCTTTGACAGAGTTTATTAGGGCCCGAGCACAGAGCGCTAGGACCCAACGGCGTCCTAGCACGAAGTGCGAGGAACCTATTGTTATCCTAGGAATTCTTCTTATTATACTGCTGGCGTTTCCTGTTTTTGAGGGCTTTAGGACGCTTCAAAAGTTGTACAATTTTGCACGGATTCCAGGATCGGTGAAAAATTCAACATTCTGGAGTCAAAATGTTCAAATTGTCCAGCATGCTCTCTAGCGCCACCTATGGCCATTTCCATTTTACGAAAGATGTACAAAGTCGCACCGTAACTCTGAATGACCTGAAATTGTGCACACTTATTCGGGTAGACCTGCTCTACATATTATCTCCTTGAACCCCTAAGCCCCCCTTTTTTAATTAGCACAATGTTAAAAACAGTGAAATATTAACTTACATTTACAAAACACACCTACACATTGTACAACAAACACAAACAGCTCCTAAAACATATAATAAAGATCAGGCTACAACCCTTGCAGTGTGCGAAAAAGTACACGTCCCACCGTCCGGGACGTGTTATTTACAATATCGGACAAGTAGATCTTTCAATTGACTTGTCCAAAGGACAAGTGACGTTTTTCGGCCTGATTTATTGACAAATTATTGATACATTCAGTTTACAAAAGGCAGAACTCATTTGCAAATTGTACGTGTCCGCCATTGTTCGTTTAGAAGTGTTAGTTTCGGTTCTGCTTGTCGATTCCTAAGGAAATGCATCTCGCCGCTTTCTGTACAGTTAGACGGGGCGGAGCGGGCGGGAAGTGTAGCACAGTGGCAGGGTTGGGAAGCAAAACTCGTTTCCGAGTAGGAACAAATAACAATTGTCCGGTACCGGGATTAATAAGAGTTGTGAGGACAGGAGGCGAGGCCGAGCCCCGCGGACTGCAGCTCTCTCTATGCTCCGTATCAGCTGATCTCTGCATGGTGCAGCTCAGCGTCTCTCTCTCTCTCTCTCTCTCTACACACAGCGGATCAGCTGCCCGATTAACAGCCTCATCTTTGTCAAACTTTCTTATGTTCTTTCTCTAACACATAATGAAGGTTATTAAGCGTTTTAACTCCTATGTTGTTAATATTGACCACCATTTCCTTTATGAAGTAAAGCAACCTCCCTGTCTGTGTCCTCGCGCTGTCCTCACATCCCCAGACCCCCAGACTCAGAGGAGCACAGGGATGTCAGTATTGTTTATGAAGCAGGGTATAGAAAGTACATTATTGAAATGAAAATACTATTTATTTACTTTTACAAACAGTGAGCAGCTGCAGCATGTGTATTGCAGAACATGTGCAAGCGTCTTTGAGTTGTAGAAAAGCGCTAGGCCTATAGGCTATACATCTAATGTGTCATTATTATTATTATTATTAGGTTATGTCCTATGTGTTGGACATGTGTGGTTGGACTTTGTCTCACAGGCAGGTTGCAGTGTAACATCAGAGGAGACTGGGCCAATTGTACATTCTCAAACTGCACCACTTAGAACTAACTAAACAATGCAGAGATTATTTGTATATAATTGTATTCAATAACCGTAAGAAATTCAACAGTATGAAGTGATTTGTAAATAGGAATACAGATTTGACTTAATGTTTTCATAAATATATTTTTCTCCCAGTTTGTCATGGGACTTATTTTTACCCTCTCAAAGAACCGGAATTGAGAACCAAAAATAACCGGAATCGAAAAGCAGAACCGGAATCGTTAAAATCCAAACGATACCCAACCCTATGTGTGATGCAGTAAAATCTTACCGCTCACTTACGTTAGCGGTGTCATAAAAACCGTGGGAAAATGTAAAATACGATGACGAAGAAGATTCCAGTGGCCCCAATTTTTGTCCATTCTGGACAAGTGAAACATTTATTCGGACAAGTAAATTGCCAAACTCACTTGTCCATGGACAAGTACTCTCTAAAAACATTTTCTCACACTGCCTTGTATATTTTATTATGTGAAGCACTACATGGTTTCATGACAAATCTCTACTTAGATGTCTCCTAAAGCCTACAAATAAAGCGTGTAATGTAGGCCTGTTACATATATTATTGAGCGATATATATTATACACACTGTTCTGCTTTCTGCACTGACCTCAGCAGCTGTTCTCACTGTAAACATCGCCTCACAATGAAAGGGCAGAAAGTCTGATGCACATTTATTTGATCATCTTAAATAACTTATCACAACGGGAACAGTTTGCAGAGCTTTGCTTCGTTGACATAAGTCAAGCCATGCGTCACGCCTCTTTTAAACATCACTGTTAGCTGAAATCGACTCCGGAGAATACTTCAGTGTACCCTCGGTTATAGCTCCTCTAGAGACACTCCTCTCTCCTCTAAATCAGTGTATCCTTGGTTACGGCTCCTCCAGACAGCCTCCTCGATAATCGATCCTCGACGAGCCTTTAGAGAAATTTGTTTTCCTTCGAGACGGCGCGCCGACATCCGTTTCCGGGTCGCTGCCGCAGGACCTGGGAGTCTGGGATGCGAAAATTATAGAAACGGCTCATTTCGGAGGACTCGCGAGCGTCTGCTTGACGCCGGGACGACCGGCCGCCCTCCCCGACAGGCGCACGGACGCGAGGGCCCGCTCATCACTGCGCGCACTTCTGTGACCGCAGTTTTAATTAAATGTTTTCTTTCACTCTCAATTTATTATTTCCAGAGCGGACTGGGCACCTTTTGGTGTGGCCGTGATGTTTAGAAATATAAACAAGTTGTTTATCAGTAATAATTATATAATAAGCCTGTTCATAATTGCTAAATGTTGTTCTCCACAGGATGATAGATGACTCCCAGCTCAGTCCCTCAAAAGATATTTTTATGAAAGTTGCCATTGAGATCTTTGCAGATGGAAAATTCAACTGGGGCAGGGTTGTTGCACTGTTCTACTTTGCCTGTCGACTCGTCATCAAAGTGAGTTAAGCAGCTCTTTTGTACCTCACTTCATAAAAACAAAAGTTAGACATCTATTTGATAGATTAACAACAACTCTAATATTAAAGTATTTAACATTCCCACCATTCTCAGGCTCTGGTGACCAAACTTCCTGACATCATCAGAACAATAATCAGCTGGACTATGGACTACCTTCAGGAAAATGTGATCAACTGGATCAGGGAGCAAGGTGGCTGGGTAAGAAGCTAGCTAACAAATGCCACCCAAAAAAATAAACGTGCATCATGTTGTTGTCTTTTTGTAATTGATCTCCTGATTGTTTGAACATGTGATAATATTTGTGTCTATTTTTCATGATTTTTTTTTAGGAGGGTATTCGGTCCCACTTTGGCACGCCCACATGGCAGACATTGGGAGTTTTCTTGGCCGGTGTTCTCACCACTGTTCTAGTGATTCGCAAATTGTGAGGGATATGTGAAGAGAAGAATGGAAAGAATCGCCCGTGAGGAATGGGGACGGGAACACGAAAGAACGTCTGAAAGCATACAGAAAGAAGTTATGGCAGTGAACAAGTCGAACAGGACGAGCTTGTATTTAGACACGAAGGGCATCTCTTTGTTTCTGCCCCCTTTCATTTCCAAGGATTTGGAGTAAGACAGTAAGCACTTTCTCACCCGTAATCCTAATGCCATTGAGGAAGTGAGCGGAGCATGATGCACAAAATGGGGAGGTGAAAATGTTGTCAGGACTTAAACAGGGAATGCATTTTATGTAATTTATTTTTTATTCGGTACAGACAAGAAATGTGACTGCTTCTGTTTTTTTCTGCCCTTAAAGATATATGGACTAAAAATGTTATTTTACGTTTTGCTAAATTTCCTTCGGTTTTATTTTTTGTTCCACTCGGATTGTTTATCTTTTTATTTTCCCACTCGCCATCCACCTCATCATGGTCTCTGTATGCTAGAGAATCAGTCTTCATATGCATTTGTGAGTGTTAACCGGTGCTAATCTGCTACGATCTGCTGGAAAGTTTTATATTCACATCGGGTAAAAATATGTTTTTGCAAACAATTATTAGATAATATAAAAAAATTACACATCCAATAATATTTGGGCTAAAATTACCATGATTGTTCCCCTGAAATGTTGAGCGCAAAACTCCTATCTTCTGTAACATTCAATCATATGATATGCTCCATTTGGGTCTTTCAACCAGCATTGTGACCTAATGTGCCACATCTCGTGAACATTTCCTGAGGCCTATTAAATATGTTGCACTGCAGACACAGAAAGTGCTGGATGCTCACAGATGCTTACCTCATGTCACACATATTCAAAAGTACTGTACGTTTACTTGAGATATTCAGACAACAATCTTATCTACAGAGCAAAACGTTTTTTTATACATACTTCTTGTTTGTCAGTGCCTTGGTGTTTGGCTTTTCTTTTTTTTACTCTGAAATCACTTTGATATTCTCAATTTTTCACGTTTTTCTATTACATTTGTAAAGCTGAAATTAGTTTCCAGTCCTCCCTGCAAATCTTTTTGCTTGTCTGTTGTAATATGGAAAATAAATCTTTTAACTCTTGACTGTGTCTCTGGATATGTATAAATAGTGTAGCGTTAAGGATTATAAATATGAAAAATAAACACCAGCTACTCGTGGAGGGAGTGAACCAACATGTGCATTTAGCTCAAAACGCTGGTGTGCCTGAATGCAGAAAGGCATGATGGCATGTATACATATTTAGTTTTGTGATTTGCAAATTAAATGACAATTTGGCAGATAGCACATTTTATATTTAAGGTTGAGTACTTTGAGGCTGAAGTCCACAATATCCATACTTTTTTGGGCATAAATGTAATGTTATTGGTTTATAACATTTTGATATAGCATATGCACAAGTGTAAAACCTTTGGGCTAGAGCAGGGGTACTCAAATACAAATCTTAAAGGTCCAAAATAAATGTTTCAATAAGACAAAGGTCCGTTTATTACGGTCATTCAAACTTTTAAACAATTGCAACAAGATTCTTAACACGAGGTTGCAAAAACAAAAATAATCTGTATGCAGCAGTTTTCATTGTTATTGTGTCTGTGCTTGACCCCTCAGAGTCGCAGTGTAAGAGCTGCACAGTTAGGAATAAAGGCAGCTGCACCCTCTTTCATTCAGCATTCCCATTATTGCTTTATAAATGTCTTGCCCCCTTTTGTGTCCGCTGAGGTTCGTCAGGCCCAACACATCTTCAACAAACTCCCCCTTTGCCTCATCATAAAAACTCACAAACACCAGCAACTGAGCAGTGTCAGTGGACTCACCCACAGCTAAGGAAATGCACTGTGCATTTTCTATTCCATCACAAAGCTGATTAATCAAATCACCAGCCTGTATTTATGTTCTTCTGGTTGCTGTAGAATCTGAGAGGGGATTTGCTTGATTTTACCTGTTATTTCCTCTTTTTGTTTGCCTTCAACATGGTCTCCATCACTTCAGTCATGCATTCTTTTATACTTCAGTTATTATCCAGTGGAAGGTCCTTACCTACTGGCCTAGTTCAATCAAAGTGGCTACTTTTGTTTGGCTGGGCAGTGTAGTTTTACACACCGTCTTATTTGACTTTCTCAGGACTTAAAACAGTTTTTTGGGGGCAGACCCCCTCAAAGAAAAAAAAAATATTTACACACATAAGGTCATCATCTTAACAGTTTTGTATGCTCATCCGTGAGCAGAGCATCAAGTTGACATGTCTATTACAGCTGAATGCGGCGATTACCATTTTGTTCAGCAAAACGCCTCACAAACGTATTAAGATCAACAGCTTTAGTGCGTTTTGATTCAATGCTGAGTACAGCCAAACTGACAGTCTCTTCTCTGTCAGTGTAGACCGCAAATACCTCATTCCTTCAGTGCTTGGGTCCGAATGCTTCTCGTTTTGCACCGTCCGGTTCAAATTAAATCGCCGCCAATCATATGTCCACGCTCGCGCCAGGACCGGGGGAGGGGTTACATGACGTGCATCTTGTGCTGCATTCACTTGCACTCGGACATTAGAGACTTTCTCTCATAAATGTCCGATGAGCCACAACTTTTCTTTCAAAAGAAAGCTGCCAACTGGGGTGGCAGCTGGGGTGGTAAGGCCTATTTTTAGGGTGTCAGTTGCCACCCCGGTAGGTGAAACTAGGCTACTAGCTACAGTACAGATGGAACTTGATGAGCTGTTAACTCTACCTCTGAATTTTTTTTTTTTAAACTCTCGCTCTGACTCAGGCCCATTCTCAAACCGCCCCCTACACCCTACCCCTACCCCTCCGTTTGCGCGTTCACGCGGAGGGTCCGCCATATTGAGGGCTGTTCCAAAGCAACGAGTGTGGAGCGGTGTGGAGGGGGAGTGGGCTATCAAGACCTCAAACAGCGAGTCTGCAGCGGTGCTGACTTGAGCAGTGGCGGCGCCAGATATTTCCTCTAGGGGGTGCTGTAGGGTAGCTTGACGTTTCATAGAGGGTGCTCAAACATTTAGGGTTTCCCATTAATGCACCAGCGCTACAGTTGAATTGTCTACTGCAACACTCCCCCCCCCCCACACACACACACACACACACACACACACACACACACACACACACACACACACACACACACACACACACACACACACACACACACACACACACACACACACACACACACACACACACACACACACACACACACACACACACACACACACAGTGCACCCGCGACTGTTACAATGAAGGCTCGATAATCAGCTCACGGCATATAGGCAGGGGTAAAGTGCTATTTTTACAAGTGGAGAGCGGACCTCACCTCCTCTAGGAGGGTCCTCACCTCCTCTAGGGGGGTCCGGGGGCATGCTCCCCCGGGAAGATTTGTTTTTAAATATTGAAGTTAAAAGCATAAATCTGGTGCACTTTGAGAGCAACATTAAGAGATCTATGGATACATCTCTCAATACCCATACGAAACAGAACTGTCAACAGATTTACTTTTTCTTTATAGATATTTTACAAATCACTCCCCTTTTAAAACAAACCGTTTGAGACCCACTGAGATAACTAGACTAAAGTTAACCATCTAAACACTGAGAGAGTCCTTTACTTCACCTGAGCTGAGGTTACCTGAGACTCTCCGTCTGACAGGAGAGAGTTCTCCCTCCACCTTGTTGTTGAAAAAGCTCCTTATATCCGTTAGCTTGGCTAGCTAGCACCAGATGCTAACCACTGTCACTACCCGATCTGCAGCTCTGCCCGATCTGCAGTGCGCATGTGCGAGATGGTCCATCATATTGGACAACTCCGGACGGCAACCCAAGATGGACACTTGACACAGTGGCTTTTAGCAAAGCTCAAAAATAAAACGAGAGAGAGATGAGTTATTGTTATTACAACGTGACTTCACTATTATTTAACAACTCTTTTTATGGGGTTCTTTTATTTGGGGTTAAGTACATTGTCAGAATAAGTGAGAAATGAATTTAACTTCTGTTAGACAGCTATATGCCATACGTTTTTGCACACATTCACAGTAAATATGTATTCAGTATGATAGCTGTCTAACAGAAGTTAAATCCATTTCTCACTTATTCTGACAATGTACTTAACCCCAAATAAACGAACCCAATAAAAATAGTTGTTAAATAATAGTGAAGTCACGTTGTAATAACAATAACTCATCCCTCTCGAGTTTTCCTTTTTAGCTTTGCCAAAAGCCACTGTGTCAATGTTGTCCTATTTGGGTTGCCGTCCGGAGTTGTCCAATATGGCGGACCATCTCGCACATGCGCACTGCAGATCGGGCAGAGCTGCAGATCGGGTAGTGACAACCACAACGATCTCCGGTAGATACCCACTGGTGCGCGAGGCGAGCTCTCTCGCTCGCGCACGCACGCACACAAAATGGCTCGTGCCACACACACACACACACACACACACACGCACACAGAGAGCAGGGCTTGAATGAAACACAGAGACCCAGAAGTAAGCTACTTGTACTCACGAGGCCTATTATGTGCAGAATCCCTCACGCTTTCAGTTGGTTTTGATTGAGTGTCCACACGTGGACGTTTAAGGATTAAAAACGATCAATTTTTCACTTTGCTGTTAGCAAATCATTTGGCGCTCTAGCTAACAGGAAGTCACCCAAGTGTCACAAAGTAATTTAGTCTATGGGTAGGTCAAAAATCGAATGGGTGCTGGCCATTGGCCTAATCATATCACCTGTGTTGGCTTTATGTTTTTGGTCAAAAATGTGTTTGTTTCACATATGCATTGATGTAATCAATAATATTTCTAATTTAATTTAATAAAAATAATAATAATAATTTAAATTAAAAAAAAAAAAACATATTTCTTGGGGGTGCTTAGGGGGTGCTTTGGCAATCCTGGGGGGTGCTGAAGCACCCCCTAGCTCGCCCCTGGCGCCGCCCCTGGACTTGAGACCGGTCTCTACCTGACCGGAATCACGCTGTGTGTGTCCGTCAGGAAACACGCTGTTTACAAGTAGTTCCAGCAAACATCCACTGATAAATTGCGATGTTAACAACCTCATGATAACCTCATATGTTTTTAACTTAGGATCATACCTGTGTTTAGTCTAGAAAAAGGTAAATGTGTGCATTTTATTATAAAGTTGTGTACATTTACAGACTGTTGCAAAAACTAAGAAGCTTATAAACATCAGGTTTAAAACTAAAAGAGCTTTGAAACACAATGAAAGATGTTTGGAGTTTTATTTGAGTTATTCATTTAAACTTTTTGTTTAAGAGATGCTGATTTGAAACCGTTGTTACATACAGTTACGGCATTTCCTGTTTCTGCCGGAGAGAGGGGAGGCCGTCCCAAAGCTTGCTGCTGTATTTACTCCCTCCATCTGACAGGAGGGAGCCTCGTTGAGCTGCGAGTGTGGCTACGGACGGAGTTCACTCCGTCACGGAGGGGTAGGGTCGAGGGAGTGGTTTGGGATTGGGCCTCAGACAGGTTGAAAGAGAGACACACATTTTTCCCACCCGCATTCCGCGAAGACCCGCCCTACTGTGCCTCTGATTCGCAGATTGTTTGGGGGGGGGAAAACGCTAACGGGATGCTGAATGTGATTGGACCAATGCGTTGACAGACACACACAGACAGTGGAACAGGACATGCAGAGCGCTGTTTGCAGTCTATGGACATAGCGGATCATTTTGACTCGTTGCGTTGTGGCGATGTCTCGCAGATAACACAGATAATACATATGAAAAGTATAATTTGCTCAGAGTCCAGAGACAGTTGTGGTTCGGTCCGGATCCGGACCTGAGTCCGGACTTTGAGGATGCCTGGGCTAGAGGATCCCACCAGAGCAAAGGTCAGGGGTTCTCCAAAACCACAGAGTTTCAACCTCAACCGCTCGTAAATATCATCTGTAAAGGTCATGGAAGTCCAGGCATTGCAGTACTATCATTATTAACTTCAAATTAAAAGACAACTTTTAAATTGTGGTTCATGGTAGGGATTTTTTTGATCTCACAGTGGCACTAGAGGAAAGGTCAGATGGTTATCAAATCCTTGCAAGTCCTTCTCTGGGGACTGATTTCC